CTGGGGGATTGAACCGCGGTCCCTGATGCTTTTGCTAAGCTTGTTCTAAGTAGGTGCTTTAGACCACTGAGCCATCTCTCCAGCCCTGGTGAACCTTTTAGAGCTTTCAGTGATAACAGCCCAGTGCAGCATGCATACCATAGGTTTGCCACCACTGATATAGAGGGTCCAGGGAATTGTTGGCTAGACTAAGGAATCATGAGCCTTGAGTCTCCAAATGGGTAGCCACTTGGAAAAAGAAACTTGGGTAGTGATGCTCTTCAAGAAAGAACTGGCTCAAAAAGAAAAAAGAACTGGCTCATCTCAAACCTGAAGACTCCTATCCTGTTTGATGCCTCAGGTGACCATTTCTCAACATTCTGTGTCCCTCAAGACTTGGGCCTTTTCTTTTCTTTTCTTTCTGTATTTGGTACAGGGTCTCCCTAAGCAGCTCGGACTCATAGTGATCCTCCTGTTTTCAGCCTCCCCAGCCCTGGGGTCAGTGCAGCATGTAGTACCAGGGATCAATCCCTGGTCCCTGTGCTTGCCTAAGCAGGAACTGTACCTGCTGGAGTGGCCAGATATTCTGGGATCCCCATCTCTAGTAGCCATCTGTTTGATATCAAGAGATTGGAAAAAAAAAAAAAAAGAGCTTGAGAGATTCGTATTAGTACAACACACAGAATTTAGGAAGCAGAGACTTATAAAGACAACCTTATTACCCTATTCCCTGTAGAAACCTCTAAGCTCACTCCTTAAAAGTGGGTATCCTGCATGGTCAGAGGACCTAGCCCTCCCACCCCCCACTCAGCTCCCCCACTTCCCCACCCATTCTGCTTAGCTGCTTTGGGTGGGCCTTTCAGTTAATATCTCTTTGCCTGGACTCTTCCTATAGTTTGCACATGGCCTGCTGCCTCAGACCTGTGCCAGAATGTTCCCCACTTGGTAAAGCCTTCCTTGTTTAGAATTTCAGCTCCTCAGCACTTGCCTATTTTTTGTTCTTCTCCAGCACAAATCACTGTATGGTAGTCTCCCTATTGTTGTGTTTTACACTCTGCACCCCCTGTCCCCCATGTAAGTTCCATTAAGATAGCTATTCTTCCACCTTTATTGCCAGTGGGCACTGGCTGAATAAAATAATGTACTGTTTTCTGCATTTTAGCTGTCTTATTTTCCTAATAGCTGGTTAGCTTGCAAGGCACAGGGACTATGGTGTATACACACACACTGCCTTCCTGCAATGCTAGGATACCAGGTTGAATGCAGAATTGAATTCTCTCTCACATGTACAGTCATCAGGTTAAGTTCTAAAGTCAGTTGATCTAGGAAAGATCTCATGTGGTCAAACTGCCTGACTACATGTCATGACTGTATCTAAAGGCCTTGTGTTTTTTCGTAGGTCAGGATAATTATATCTTGATCTTACTTGGCCACAAAAAAATAGTCAACCCAAAGACTCCATTTTGGGTCAGTGCAGAGCAGGCAGAGGTGAGATGGGGAGGGGCTCCATTTTGCTTGCTTAAGGGATAGTTCTTTAGGCTCATGGTGTTTCTAAAATTAGGCAGCCCTTAGTTACCATGTCCTGCCTGTGCAGCAGGTGCCAGTGACTTGTTTATTCACTAGTTCTGGTTGCAGCTGTAGCTGTTTTCCTGGCTTTTGGTCCACATTTCCTTTCTTTACTTCCTCATGTTCTGCAGCAAAAACAAGCTCCCAAGCACAGAGGCAGTTCAGCAGGTTGAAGGTGGGCTGCATTCTCAGGTGGCTCCAGCCATGGCTGCAGCAAGTACAGTAACTTTATCACTCTTGGTTGTATCAGGTGTCCCATAGCAATTTGCTTACCTTCTGCTGGTAACTGGCTTTTTAGGTAGGGTCTCTTGAGGCCAGTGTGACTTGACAGGTCTGTATCCCTCAATGTGCCTGGAATAACTCAAGGTGATTTGGTAGGGAGACAGGATTCATGCTACTAATCTCAAGTGATACCCACATAAAGAAAGGCCTTATGCCAAATATATATATTTCTGTGTGTATAGCATGGTTCTACTTTAGTTTTCACACACACACACACACACACACACACACACACACACAAATATATATTCTTTTTTTTTCCCCAGTAGGGTCTCGCTATGTAATTTAGGCTGGCCTTAAACTCACTATGTAGCCCAGACTAGCCTCTAGCTTGTGGAATCTTCCTCAGCCTCCAAAGTGCTGGGTTTACAGACTGAGTTTTTACCCAGACTTCTGAGAAGGAGAACTGAACAGACAGCTCTTAGGATTGTTTCACTGAGCATTTTCTCTTATAGACTAGATCACAGTATTAGGCATCTTTGTGGGTTGAGGAGGAATAAATTTATCTCAGTTATAATAAGCATTTTGAGAAAAGAGTTTAAGGAACTGCTCATTATAGAAAACTAGACACTACACACAGAGAAAGACTTCTGTATTTGTGTTTATGTGTAAACAACCCAAAATCACTACTGTAAGAAAACTAAAGTAGAACCATGCTATACATACTTCTTTTACATCTTTCTTTTATTCAGTACTGTGTTAAGACCATCTTTCCATGTCAGTAAAAAGTACATATCATTTTTAGGAAGTGAATACAATTACAGTTCACTGATAGAGCAGGTGAGTTATACTGTTCCTTTGGCATCAAGTCAGTGATGTACATAAATAGCTTTGCACAAGAATTGTTGCTCACATATCCATTTTGTCTCCAGGGTAAGTACCCTGAAATGGAATTAATCAAAAAGAATGTGTGGCGTACAGCCTGCCTGGCAAGCGTGAGGTCATAAGTTCAGTTCCCAGTATCAAAAAAAAGTGTAAGTAACACAGCTGTCCTCCAAAAAAGTGGGACTAACATGCTTTGCTGTGGCTCCTTCATTTAACACTGGATCTCAGGGAGTGAAAGAGTGACAGTTTGTCAGAACTTTGACAAGAATTCAGCATGATGCAAATTGTAGTCATCATAGTTCCTAGAAATCTTACTATTTTTTAATTTAGAATCATTAGTCCTGTCCAGGCATGGTACTGTATGCCCATAAT